TGCACAGCTCACCCCATGCTTACCTGAACAGGTGGTAGGTTCCAGTTAGGTGAGGTGGTAAAGGTGAAGGCCAGGAGAGAGAAAGGAAAGAGGGGGGGGCAGCTTGCTGTGAGGCTGTGATTTTAAACCTGTGTTTGGTTTTCTTTAGTGTAGATGGTTTTCCCGGGAGACTGTTTTTTTGGGCTATTGTTTCATTATTATTTTTGTTAATAAACCTTACAACCTTCTGCACCTATTCCTGCTAATTGGACTATTTTTTCCCCAACATCCTTTTTAACGGGGTTGGTGTGCCAAAACCATCCCATTTCCCTTTAGTTCCCTTCCTTTAATGGAGGGCCGGCGGACAGGGAGTTTCTATCAACTGATGTCTTATATTGCACTAATGTATACTCTATAGCTTTGCCTTCTCTGTTGTCGGACATCCTGATTCTCCCAAGTTCAGCGCGTCCCTGGGACAGCAAGGGAGGAGCTTGCGTTACACTTCGTTAATTAACCAATCACATTCTTCATTGTATGACATACAGTAACCACATTGGTCCATTTTTTCCTCCCGCTGAGCCACACACTGGCCACTGCCCTCGATGGCTGGAAGCCTTGAATTTGAAAATGAGGAAAAAAGGACCAATGTGATGATGTCATACAATGAAGAATGTGATTGGTTAATTATCGAAGTGTAACGCAAGCTCCTCCCTTGCTGACGCAGGGACGCGCTGTAGAGTCCGGACATGCCGCTGTTGTTGGTGTGTATGATATAGTAAGGTGTACATTCTGTAGGTCATGTACTAAATGCTTGCACGGTGCTTTATGCTTATAGCTGTGTTGCTTCTGTGTGTGTTTTGAAGTGGGTTCGGGTTCTGTACATTCTCTGCGAGGTGTCCCACTCCTGCCAGCTGACCCGCTCGGACCCGGTGGCTGTGGGTGAGATGGCACTGAGGTTCACAGCGGCGCTGGAGTCCAGGTTAAGCTCTGTACATCAGCCTGGAAGGAAGCTGGGTATGGTGCAGAGCCCCCTAGGGGCATTATGGTGAAACGCAGCCTAGAGTACGGGCGGCCTTGTCTTATGTCACGTCCGATCCTCTCCACTGACCATGTCGTCTCATCGCATGTCCCTGTCCTTCAGCCGTACCAAAGGACAGCAGCCGGGAGACGAGGTCCGTGGACTTGCAAAATGATATGGTTCCTGTCCCCAAGGTACTTCAGAGAAGTGGTTACACCCGAGCTGTGCATGACCCGTGCGGCGTTCATGACATGCTTCTGTTACCATGTTGCTGTGCATAGCTGTCAGGGATTCATTCAACATGAGATTTGGTTTGTGTGTCGACTGATGGCATGTGCATCGTGTCCCTGCAGAATGACGCGGCAGAGCAGCTGAGGACAGCATTGGAAGTTGTCGAGCGTGCCGTGGAGAGCGTGTCCTGGGCTCGGGCCCGATTTCTTCCACGTGACGGGACAGCCGTGTCCGACGTGCGCCAGCTGCAGGTTCTGTCACTCTGCACATTCCAGGGTTTCTCCTAAGTGGTCTGAAAACACCAGGCAACGCTAATGCTTCTTATCAGGACTGTAGAACCATTTATCCATTTGCAGTGTGCCTGCCATACCCTCCCGTCAGCTGGAGGGGAGGAGCCGGGGAGCAGTGGGAAGAGGAGCTCCTCTGACTGCTCCAACATAACCTCCATCCACATGGACCTCCACTTGGAGCTGCTGGCTGTCCAGCACAGATTAGCTCTCAAGCTCCTCAACACTTATCCAAGTCAGTGAATCCTCCAGAGTCCCAGTGTGCACAAGGACAGGGCTGGGCATCACCTTGCTACTTTATCTCTTTGCCCAACGTAGATGAGATGCAGCCTACTAACGGCAAGACGTCATCCTCTGAGAACTTGGCCAGTCCTGGGGAATCAGGTAGTGTCACCGCCTAAGGGTTTCAGCACCTATACTTCAAAGACTCTGTTCTGTATTTATCATGCGTGTACATTGTTTTAGAGTGTGAGCGCTTGGAGAGAATTGGGAGGAACAGGATCTCCAAGGCCATCTTCTTCATGCAGAAGGCCTTGCTGTCTCACAGGAACGACACAGGCAGATCCAATCCCAAGGAGCTGCTGCAGGTCAGCATGGGGTCCAATCCCATAATGCCCAAGCTGCCTCTCCTGCAGTGACCAAGCTTCTACTTTCCTTCCAGTGTCACGGTCCTATTCACCTTATTTCACGTGCTGCAGGAAGCCATGACCCTCATTGAGAAAGCGGAGGTGGAGGAAAACAGGCTGATCAGGATGCAGGCCGCGCCAGAGCCAAGCAAGGCGGCCGGCGGGAAGGTTAAGGCCCCTCCTCCCCCGATCCTGCTCTTTCGAACGCAGCAGTCCATGATATTCACTCCTGCTCCCTATGCCCTTGGCACACAGGTACTCACTTACAGCACAAACGTACTGCCAGCCAATCACTGTTACACAGTCGCTCTCACACAGCAACAAACACTCAGGCATATTTGTGTTCAAGATATTTTGCCATACATCATTCCGGAATTTTCCTTTGCCTGATCTCTGCCCGAGGTGTGCTGGTATCGCCTCTACGGACGGGAGGCCACGGGCATCAATCTGAAAGTGCGTCTCGGTGACTCCCAGCTTCCAGGCACCGGAGAAGAGGTCAGAACTCTTCTTCCACTCTGCGCCTGTCGTGTGCCCCCAGCCTCTGTACTGTGCCCACTCTCGTTCCCCCTGGCAGGTGCCCGCTCTGAGAGAGTGCCTGCTGCAAGTGCAGGGGCTGCAGCCCAATCGCAGGTATGTCTTTGCTGTGGCTGCATGTGATGCCCAGGGCCAACTGGTAGGGGGCGCCATCGGGGAGACCACCCACCCACTCCTGGCCTCTCTGCCCCTGCCCACACTGAGCACATGGGCACACCTGGCACAGGTACACACGCTGCTTGCTCTCCCTCTCTGAGCTCATGACACATCTTGTTTTGTGTTTGTCTGCGGGGTGATCAGAAGGTCGCCAGTTCAAATCCCAGAGTCAGCAGAGTGATGTCACTGTTGCGCCCTTGAGCAAGGCCCTTAAACCCCAATAGCTCCAGGGACTGGCTGACACCCTGATTTCAATTGTACATCACTTTGGATAACAATTGCAATTATGTTTCTGGGTGATAAGCGCTCATATGGTATTACCAGGTAGCTTACCAGACTGGGATCAATGCCCTTGCTAAGCGGGCATCTAGAGCGTTGTGGGAGCACTTTACCCACACTCCTCTTCCTCCACCCGAACCGGAGTCTGGCAGCTCCGCAGACCGGCTTGCCCAGACACGGTAAGAAAGACAACAGTCTTGTTGCCTCGATACATGCTGCCTTTTACTTTTTGATTCACACCTATAGGCCTGTTTTCCCTGTCTCTCTCCTTCTCAGGCTGTGTTTGGGCGCACTGGAGAATGCCTCCCCTGTTCTCCTCCGCCTCTTCCTCACCTCCATCTTCATGCAGACAGATATCCATGTCCAGGAGAGGGCGCTGTACTGTGACATGCTGAGTGATGGTGGACCCTTGATTTGGGGACAGGTAGGAAACCGGTCAAGCAGCTTTGTGGTCTGCTTATCACCACAGTAAGAGGCTCTCTGCACTCTTGTGATAAAATAGCTGCCACAGAAAGGAATATTATCATTAAAACAAACAACAGCAGAGACTGATGGGAACTGTTTTTAACCAATCAGGAGGCGAGGCTAGCTGAGTGTGAACGTTTTCTGGTGGCAATAGACCTGGCCCTTTGGCTGGAAGACAGTGGAGCCGCCCTTCAGGCAGTGGTGGGATGCTACGGGCTACTAACCCCATTCATATACCACAGAATCCAGTCTCAGGCTGCTGTACAGGTAAGTTACACTGGCGTGAAATGACAGAGGTGTGTCTGTGGAAAGCTTCTGCTGGTTTGAAGATTCATCATCTTGCCTCTAACAGGTGCTGATAAAGTGCTTAGTGGTGCTGCAGGAGATCCCAGGAGAGCTTCAGCAAAGGCACTCTGCCGCCACCGCGGATTCACTCTTGCACATGGTGGCCTGCATGACCTACTACGTGACCAAGGTGGCCATGCACGTCCATAAGTATCTAACCGCACTCTGGTTTAATCCCAAGTTTTATGCTTGAGTGCATCGGCACACTCGCGTAACTGTTCATGGCCACGTGACCATGTGCGTGTTTGTGTGCACAGGTGCTGCGTCTCTCGCAGCAGTACCGCACGGCCTCGGCTGTGGTCGAGCTGGGCAGGACACTTCTGCAAGAGGCTGCACATGCAGGGGTTTCTGGTGGACCTGAGCTAGTATGTCGCTCAGTGTTTTGCTACAAAAAAAAAACTGAATATATTTTTAACTGTGTTTTTAAGTTAATAAATTATGGAGTCTTCTAAGAATGGAATTAAAAAAACATATAAAACGTACTACATTAACACGCAAGTCAGCATGAAGTCACTATCCAGTGCAGTAACAATTAACCAGCTCTAAATCGGCTGTTAGATATAATCTGGTTAATTTGGTACAGTATGTGCGTTGGTGCTGCGGAGCCCTTTAAATGTGCTGTTTGTACTGTCGGGTCCCTCGGAGACCCCCCAGAGGGATGCAGGCAGCGGCCCGACTGACGAGGAGCCCAGCAAGCAGCTCCGGGCTCTGGAAGCCTGCACAGCGACGAGCGGGGGGGTGGCCGACTCCGGGCCATGTGACCTCCCTTCCTCCAGTAGCGGTGAGCGCTTTCTTCTCATGGGTGCACCCTGCTGACTGTGAATGGTTGAAGTCTGACTTCAGCTGGGTAATAAGTCAGCAGATGTGTTGACGAAGTGAAACCCTGACCTCTGTGTGATATGTGCCTCCAGAGAACCAAAACCTGACTGGACTGGAGGAACCAGCCCAGGTGTATTCAGTGATCAACAGCAGCTCCCTAGAATCTGCCTGCAGAGAGGGTATAGGGCACTCAGCCAAACACTCACAATGCTGCCTGTGATCCAGTGAGCCTTTAGGGACTCAGTACACCATGCACATTATTATATACCATATACATCATTATATACCATACACATCACTGTATACCATACACATTACTGTATACCATAGGTATATGGTGTAAAGGCCTCTCCATGCACGCGCACATGCATGTGTCTGTCTTTAGTAACATGTGCATTGTGTGCCATGCACAGTGATGAAGTTTCAGCAGAAGCCTGACTTCCTGGAGCTCGCAGTGCACCTGCTGCAGAGGGGGGTGCGGGAGGATCAGCTGGAGCTTGTGCTGCAGTGGGGGAAGGAGCTTTTGTTGTGGCTTAGCAGGTGTGTGTGCGTGTGTGTCGCAGTCGTCCAGGTATACGTTACATTGTGGGGACTCTTACTTTGACCTTGTGGGGACCAATTTTTCGTTCCACACAAGGGGAAATTCAGTTTTATAAAAAATTGTGACTGCAGTCAAAAAAGTATTTCTTTGGTTATTTATGGTTAAGGGTAGGGCTGGGTAGGGGGTAAGGTTCTCATTGCTGGGATTAAGGTTTTGAATGGAATGAATGGAAGGTCCTGACAAAGATATGATTACAGGTTTGTGTGTGTGTGTGTGTGTGTGTGTGTGCGCGCGCGCGCAGGTGCCAGGAAGTCCGTCTCCACCATGCCAGTATTGTCTCATTCTCCCGGGACGTGGTCTGCTCTTTCTCACGTGTCCGCAGGCAGGATGAGGTTCTCACCGGGAAGAAGAAGATCAGCAAAGCAGAGATGAATAAATACACATCCTCCCTGATCCCGTACAGCAAGGTGACGGCCAGGATTGGCTGTGTACTCCGTGGCTGATTACGTTTACTAAAATTCAAAATGTTACATGAAATTGATTTCAGATCAGATTGAAAACCTCACAAAAATGTAGTGTTCAACTTTGGGGCTAAGCCTCTGTGCCTGTGATCAGAAGGTCGCTAGTTCAAGCCCATCCTTGGCACGGCTGCAGGTCCTTGACCAGGGCCCTTAACCCCCAGCTCCCTGGGCGCCCCAACAAGGCTATCCTTCACAGCCAGCTTGTTCTCACCTACAGAGAGCAAGTGGGGAGAGGTGTAAAGAGAATTTCCCCACAGGGTCAATAAAGTATCAATTATTATTATTATTATTATTATTAGTTGAAAATATACTATCAGTCCCATATAAAGGGATAGATGACTTTTGTTTTATTGTAGGATTTTCATTGATTTAAGAGTTGTTTGCTGATTGTTATGTTAAGAAACCAAAGACTGCCGTTTTGAGGACTGACCGTAAGAGGACGGAGAAGAAGCAGGTGTCCATACCTTGGACCCAGATCACGGGCAGGTGAGGCCCAGCCTTGTGTGGCCCCTGTACCGTGCCGACCCATTCTCTTCATACATGCGGAGGCTGTGACTCCCTGCCGTGACTCTGCCTCAGGGAGTCCCAGGAAGTGAAGGCTCAGCTGAAGCACGCGGCCGTCCTCCTGCAGCAAAACCGCCGGCGGAGGCACCTGCGCCAGCTGTGCTTGGAGCGGGGGCCTTGGCGCTGCCAGCTCAACCTGAGCCTGGCACTGGCACACATCACCCTGCTGCGGCGAAGCTTGGAGCGGGGGTGCGGGCCCCGTCCCTGGCACAGGTATTCAGGCATGGCCTGCGCAGCCAGCCCGCAGCTCAGAGTCTGGTGCCACTACCGGCTCTGGTCATGTTCCACCAGTCGACAGCAGCTCCCCAACACCCGCGGATGATGAACAATGTCCCAGCGATCTGTCCAGCTACCAGCCTAAGCATTACTGGTGCCAGTTCACAAAGCAGCATCTGTCCTGGCTGATGCTGCTGATCCCCCTTCTGTGGATGGCGGCTGAGTTTGACTGCTCTTGAAAAACTTTTTATGTCCATGTTTCTTATTTTCCATAAGGTAGTTAGCTAGCTAGCAAACTTGCTAACTGAGGTGATACACACACCCCATGAAAATGTTAGGACCTATAGAGGGCGATATTTCCCCATTAATATGAGACTTTTGCACCATTGATTTACTGGTACAGTCAGACAGTAACAGAAGGTGATTCAAAGTTGAAGTTAATTTTTAAAACCTAAACAATTCAGTACTTTTGAGAAAGCATTTGTGGCTGGAGGTTCAAACACCACCCCCACAACTCTGCCCCACCCTCTAGCCCCAGTCAGCAAATTTTATTGGCATTATCACCCCCCCGAGTCGACAGGACATTATACCGTGCTATACGGGTTTTTGACAGCATTTTGAAAAGCAGCATTTATATAGTATTTGGGGGTTAGGTGAGTATATTCTCAAACAAAGATAATACCTAGCCCCTGGCTGTCCCACACCCCCCCCCCCCCCCCTGAAATCAGTGTGCCCAGGGTGGGATGTCTGGGCCCCTGACTGGGGCCTGTAATCTCATACACAGGTACAGCCACTTGGACTCCATCAGCTTCTCTCTGGCACATGTGGGCACCCTGCTGAAGTGGAGGAACAGACCACCAAGCCACCAACCTCTCAGATTCCCCCCACTGCCCCTCAGGGCCGTCCCACAAGCTTCCCGCCGAAAGCCCAGGCCGAATGCCGGTACGGCCCTCTGTCATCTTAGTGTCCCACACCATGCGTGCGATCGCCTCGTTTGTGTCACAAAACCCATATTCCTGTGAACTGTTAGGTATGTCTGGGAAGGAATCTGGATCTTTGCTTTGACTACAAAAAGTGGAATATTTTCCAGATAAAATGACGGTGTACACATTAGGTAATTACCTTGTTAATCTGCCTGCCAACCTGACTCAGGTGCCAGGGGAGGATCAGAGGAAGAACCAAACCACGCAGGTGTGGGCACACCCCCGCTGCCCTCCCAGATGACTTACGATGGTGGCGAGCGGTCCGGGCTCTCCGAGCCCCCAGAGTCCCTGATGAAAGCTGCCATGCACTTCAGGAGGGCCATGGTAGCTGTCAGAATCACGCACACACCTTTGTGAATGGCATTGAGCGTAGAGTCAGGCTCCACAATCTCTACATCAAACCAATTCATGTCTTTAACTTAAAAATAGACGGAAAACAGATTGGAAAAAGTCTGATGCCAGTACATGTTTTGGAGGGAAAATAAAATTTAAAGGGGCCTTATCATGCTCATTTTTACTGTACATTATTTTTAGGGTCTACAAGAATAGATGTATATGCTTCAATGTAATTTTTCTCATACTGTACATCTCTATTCACTCTGTCTAAAATGCTGTTAGAGCTATAAGTCACACCCCAGCGTGCTCTGATTGGTCAGCTAGTCAGCTTGCCTGTTCTCATCTTGTAGTGTGCAGACAAATCCTTGTAGATAGGAGGCCAATAAGGATTGTGTTACGAGATGATCTCACCATGTCATGGAAGTGGATGGATGGAATTCCGACGAGGCAGATTAGCAAAGAGAGGTGTTTGTAGTGAGAGTTATTCCCTTTGACATGCTCTTTGGGCCTTAAGACTTTGCAGACCGTTTACATGCACATAAAGCTGTACCCTACACCACTGGAAAGGGAGATACTGGGAAAGCACAATACAGCCCCTTTAACATGAGCACCTGAACGATATGATTTTCTGTCAATAATGGACGTGCCCCTCTGTTCTTTTTCAGGTGTTGCTAAGTTTTTGGCCGCATTATCACTCTGTACACGCACTGTCTCTGCTATCCAAATACGAAGGGACTTTCCCTTTGGTTAAATCCCGTCTACGTCTCCGTGTGCGTGTGCATTTGCAGGTGCTGGCCCACCGCGGGGGGCTCTGGACATCATTGCAGTGGACCTGTCAGGTGCTGTGGGACCAGGCTGTCATCGTCACCCAGTTGGTGGAGCGGGGGCCCTCCCAGGACCAGCCAGCCCCCCTGTCCTTGGACCAGCTGTACAGTGTTCTCAGCCCTTTACTAGTTCTGGCTACCGATTTGCTCCTGGACATGATGGTCAAGCTGCAGGTACACCTGAATCCATTGTAAACTGAGTGCCTTGCACAAAGGTACAACAGCAGAGATTCATCCCAGGACTTAAACCAGAAAGTCTGTCCTTAATCGGCACCATCCTGCTGCCTTGTACATGATCTCTGCTCTGTGGCGTCCATCACGGCACTAAGTACCCATTACTATCTTCAGCTGTGGAAGGCCTTTGAGGAGGAGGAGGATGAGATGGAGACCAGCCTGCATTTTTCCTCCCCAGTGGATGATGGCACACTGGTGGACTTCCACTGGATGAAGACGCTCACTCTGCACACCCTGCAGCTCCTTTTCTTTCGGGGGAAGTGGGAGACCCTGGCCCACCTGGCTCTCCTGTTCAGCAGTGTGACACGGTGGGTATGGACCAGGGGTCTGTGTGTGTGTGTGTCTCACAGCCGATCGCTTAGCATGACTCTCACTGTGTATGGATGATCATGCGTCTTCCATAGGGAGCGTTACACCCACATAGTTACGCCCCTGCTGGTCCACGCCCAGTGGCAGCTGTTGGAGAGGGTGGAGCAGTTCGGGGGGCCATCAGCTCCCCAGCCACACTTCACAAGAACAGAAAGGATCACAGGCGAGAAGGTCAGTCTACAAGGAAGGAACAGGACCTCATGGTGTGACAGAGACTAGCGATGCACAGGAACCAGAGGGGACCGTTCTGAGGACAGCACTCTTACAGGCGAATTCTCTTCCCTCCCTAGCGGGACATTTTCCTTCAACGGTCTACTTGCAGTATCGGTTTAATTTGGACTACAACTGTGTATGACTGTTTATCAGTTTTTGCCCTAGTGCAGTTATCATTCTGTGCTGCATCGATGAAACGTGCACATTGATGCTCGAATAATGTTTTCCTTTCCACTTGCAGCTACTTTTGCAGTTATTTGATGTTAATTTATTACCTTAAGACGTCTTGTACCGTGTCTTTTGTAAATTTGTCTTCTGTTGTTTTGCAATTTCTGTTGTATTCTTAGCTTTACACATATTGTTCTGTGAGGTCTTTCTCCTGTGTGTCCTGTTCATCATCTTTGGCACTGGACCACAAATAATTCTGGTATGTTTGTACATACTGGCAATAAAGTTCCATGTGGAACCCATGTTCCAGGTCACCTGCAGGAATTATACATGGAAGCAGCTACTATCGGGAGGGACCGCCGTGGCAAAGGCGACGCCCAGCACCTCAGGTACGGGTGAGACTCGTGGTGCTGCTCCGACTGAACCCTGGCTGTCAAACGTGCGTCCCGCCTGTAGCCCGCCTGTAAACTCCAGTCTTACACGCTAATGATGCCTGTGCCGTAGAGCTGCATCGGGCCCTCATGCTGGTCTCCGTGCCCCTGGACGTGGAAAACTCCCTGTGCTGTTTCCGGGAGATGGTGGGGCTCACCAGCTACGCGCTGAGAAGCTTCCGGCACAGTCGAGAACTGCTGCTGCTGGCGCTGGCCGGCACACAGCCCGGTGAGTCCCGGCCGGCGTTTACGCCACGCATCTACGGTCCTGGTTTGACGCATGCCGTCTTCCGACCCAGACATGGACGCTCCATTCTGCGGGAAAGGTCAGTCGCAAGGCAGGGTGGAGTTCAGAGCGGCTGCCGATGCCACCGCGACCGCGGGCCCTCCTGACGTCTCCAGTGAGGACTTCAGTACCCTGGCTTCTGTCTGCAGCTGCCCCCTCGGCCCCGCTGAGCTCCACACCATCATCTCTTCCTACAACAGCTCCATCAGTAAGAAGCAGATTCCTCCACTGTCCCAGAATGCACCTCCCTGCGCTTCTCTTTCCACATCCTTGATCTGCAGAAGGCTTAGACCAGTCTTAGCTACATTTTTCCTACTATGCCTGCTGGAGGAAGTTAGAGTCCCTGCTGTTGAGATTCCCCTGTTTTTGGCTACAGAATACCTCCAGGCCAATCGGCTGAACTCCCTCAGCGTCCTGGCCCTGCATGACCTGGGCGATCTGCAGTTCTTCAGAGGAAACAAACGGTAGCACATTAAATGGATATAGAACATACTCTGCTTTAGGCCTCTGTTTATTTTACCATGAGGGTGATTATTTATCCCAAAGTGCCGCGCTGGCTTGCTGGAGCAAAGCTTTGGACGGGGCCCTGCAGTCCTCAGGGGTCCTGGGCTCTTGGGACGGGGTCTCCTGGAGCGGCGTCAGTCCCCAGGATGTCCTGCGTCAGGCTGGGGTTTGGGGCTGCCTGCAGGGAGCGATACTGTCTGCTAAGATCTCTCAGTGAGTCCATTATCCACCCAATCCCATGCACTCATACACACACTCATTCTGCTTTTCTACGCTTTCCTTAACGCATATTCTCACACAGGTATCTCATGACCTCTGACCTCAGTCAGCGCACACACTGCTGTCTGCTCTCCGTCCTGCTCTTCAAGGTACACACTTCAGATCAGATTATTATTGCCATTTTTTCAGACCGAACAATGCCATAATAATTTACAAATACGATATCGCAATAAATAGAAAATATCACAAGAAGGGTATAGAAAAATAAAAAATAGTTGAATAAATATATCTAAAAAACATTAGTCATCAAATTTGCCTCAGAGCTGCTGAAACACCTAGATATTTAGGTCATGCGTTGGCCTTATGGAGCAGAGTTACAGGTTATATGAGTAAGCGATGTATTAACCCTAACCTGACCATTAAATAACCCTTATATAGCTAACCTGTTATAGCCAGCGTAGGATGGTGGAAATCAGGGATAATATTATTTGACAGGGTTTGTGATCTGTATCTACGTTTGTGTGTCTCCCCCTAGAGGCTGCTAGGAGCCTCACTGCCTCACCCCCAGCATGACTGGCAGTACTCTACCTACGTACCGGGCCAGGAGCTGATACCAGGCCTGGAGCTGTTCTCCGAGCCAGGCCGGGCCCACCTGAGCACGGCTGTGGCCAGCTTGGCCTTCCTCAGCCACTGGTTATACGGCTGTGGGCACTTCCTTGCGGTAGTTACCCCTTACAGTCATCGGTGTCACTCAGCGCTTTGGCTTTTGTGAGGTGGGACAGCATCATTCACAGCACTGTAAGGGTATTGATTCGGACCTTGTCATGGCCTGTTGTGCCGTTGCAGGCTCTGCCCATACTGTGTCTCTTCCTGCACTTGGTTGGATCGGTGTGTCGGGACTCGCGCCGCACAGTTAGTGGTCGAGTACTGAAGGTGAGTCCTACTGGCAAACAGGGAGGCAGGGCTTGGCTTCTCATCACTGGAGGCAAACACAGCCCTAGGCAAGCTGAGCTCCTGTAGCTCAACAGATATAACAATATAACAGTATTGTGCTAGCAATGCAAAGGTTGTGGGTTCAGATCCCAGGCAGCATATGTAAATTGTTAGCTTTCCTTGTACTGTTGCTTTGGATAAAAGCATTAGATAACTGCATAAAAAGCAGCGTTCATACAGGTTTTTACGTTTATCACTTAAATTATTATTATATTTTTTTTTATCTTCAAGCTATCTTTCCGTATATTTAGGAAAAACCATATTTCACGACTGTGAGAAATGCATCAATACTTATAAATAATTTCATTGTGAATTAGTCAGGTAACCCTGAGCTGATTGATTGGAATCGCTATCAAACCACCAGGAACTGGGTCTGTCGCCTGTCGTTTATCATCCGTGGTCCCTCGCGAGCTGTAGCTGCTGAGCATCATGGAAGTGCAGGGTGCAGTGAGTTTGCTTTGGTTGGATATCGCTTGTGGAGCAAAGCCTGTAGCAGTAGAGTTTTGGCTCTCAGGTCCAGGTGCTGACTGAGCTGAGCATGTTCAGTGCTGCCGTGAAGGAGCTGGTCGGCCTGGTTCGGGGAGAGAACATCCCACAGCCTCACGGCAGTTTCATTGCAGTGGAGAAACAGGAGGTAACTCATGGGCTCCACCATCTACCGTTCCACTGCAGCATGCACTAGTGTCCCCTACTGGCAGACAGTGGTACACACACTTTTTCTTTTTCTAAGGTTATGAATTTTGATGACAGCAAGCCCCTCCTGGAGCCATGTAACCTGCAGGTGGGTGTGTGGCATTTCCAAGGTGTCCTCACTGCGTGTGTGTCTGTGCTTGTTTACACGTGGTGTCATCCTCTCCAGGCTGTGGAGGAGCTGGTGAACAGAGGCATGAGCTCAGACATTTCCCTGCTGTTTGGCCCCAAGCTGACCAGGAGACTCTGCCTGGCCAAGGCCCAGCTTATCCTTGCCCTCTGCAGCTCCATTCACAGCCTGCCTGAGGTCCTGGGAGAAGGTATGCTAACATGCTAACCCAGCAGGAGCTGGCCTTCCTTTACCTGGTCCTGGGAGAAGGTATGCTAACATGCTAACCCAGCAGGAGCTGGCCTTACTTTACCTGGTCCTGGGAGAAGGTATGCTAACATGCTAACCCAGCAGGAGCTGGCCTTCCTTTACCTGGTCCTGGAAGAAGGTATGCTAACATGCTAACCCAGCAGGAGCTGGCTTTCCTTTACCTGGTCCTGGAAGAAGGTATGCTAACATGCTAACCCAGCAGGAGCTGGCCTTCCTTCACCTGGTCCTGGAAGAAGGTACGCTAACATGCTAACCCAGCAAGAGCTGGCCTTCCTTCACCTGGTCCTGGAAGAAGGTACGCTAACAGGCTAACACAGCAGGAGCTGGCCTTCCTTTACCTGGTCCTGGGAGGAGGTATGCTAACATGCTAACCCAGCAGGAGCTGGCCTTCCTTTACCTGGTCCTGGGAGAAGGTATGCTGACATGCTAACCCAGCAGGAGCTGGCCTTCCTTTACCNCCCAGCAGGAGCTGGCCTTCCTTTACCTGGTCCTGGGAGAAGGTATGCTGACATGCTAACCCAGCAGGAGCTGGCCTTCCTTTACCTGGTCCTGGAAGAAGGTACGCTAACATGCTAACCCAGCAGGCACTCATTTAGTTTGGAGAACCTCTGTAGCTTGCTTTACATGCTCCCTCAAAGTACATCCTTGAACCTTGATCATATGGCGATATAATTTGAGCCTTTTTGCTACTTAAAGCCAAATTACATTCAAAAATCCTCTTAATTGATTGCCATTTCCAAATTTCCCTAAACCAGTCATGAGAAGAATGATAAAAAATTAGTGGATGATCAGGGTTAGTTACTGAAGTATATATGGGGTAGTTTGTGTTGCTTCTGCAGAGGTTACGAGGAGGTGAGTCATAGAGGTTGTGGACAGTTGGTTACGGATATTAATGGGTTTGTTATTGTTATGAAGGAGACGTCAGCACCTGTGGGCTCAGGACTTCACCGGTCAGTGACCAGGACAACAGTGGCCAGGAGGACACCTCTGCCAAGGAGCCTCATGGCCTCCAGCTGGACCAAGAGGGCGAGAAACTGACCCCTGGAATCGTCAAGGTAACAAATCCCTGATCATGATCGTATCACGTGGGGCCTGGCTCATGCAATGAAAGGGATGTCAGAGGTGAGCATCACACAGGAATGTCCAGATCCATGGCTTTGTCCTGTGACTTTGCAGGCCTTGCTTCTGAGAGAGGCTAAAGGCATCCTGACCTCCCTACCAGCCAACGAGGATATGCTAATGGTAGATGTGCAGGAGCTGGAGATGGCCATAGAGACAAGGCTGCTGCTGTCTGCCCTCTCCCTTCAGCAAGGCAGAGCTTCGCTCAGGTGTGGAATCAAACCGCTCTTCCCAGTGGCCACAAGGTGGCGCTGTGAAGCAAGCCTGTCAGCTTACTTAGCTCTGTGCCTCCTGCAGTGCAGACTGGGCTGTGTCAGCACTTCGCCTGCTCCAGGACTCCCCCCTGCTGGAGGAAAAGAGCCCTGCGACCACTCACAGACCACGCTCTTCTGTCCAGCAGGTACTTTCCACATCCCAGAGTCACCCCAGAGGTCTTCAGTGTTATGAGAGCGGGTGTGTCAGGGTCTGTGAGTTCACTACATTTGTGTGTGCATGTCCATAAGGTGTGAGAATGGGGATGCACATCTAACGCAGGGAAATGTCTTCCTCTGTATATCCTGCATGCAATTGCAAGATGGCTGCCGTGTGTTCGTCCCCAGGACAGTCGCTGGCTGCCAGATCCTTACGATGTTCCCGAGGCTGTGGAAGCCCGTGAGAGAATGGGGGTGCTGTGGCAGCACTGTCGGCTGGCCGCTGTCCGGGCCCTGGCTGCACATATCCCCGGAGCTGCTATTCACCCAGGTGCCGGCCCACACCAGATGAGGGGAACGGTGCGGCCTGTTCAGAGGAAGGGCCACGAGAGCTGTGCTCAGTGATGCTCCCTGTGCGCAGGTGTGGACAGCAGTGCGGAAGCAGCCCGTCTCCTGGAAGAGGGGATTCAGGAAGCCAAGGCCTGGGGAGACCCTGACAGCAGAGCTGTCCTTCTCCTCCAGGGGGCACTGTTGGACACGCACAGAGGGAGAGCCAAGGAGGACAGCCTGTCGCTGCTGCAGGTAAGCAGAATGGCCGCTGAAACTGTTATACCCAGCCATAGTCAGACCTGTATGAACAGCGCCACCTGCTGATCATATTTGCACAGGAAAACTAACTTTAATATTTACACCCATAATAAATTCTTTTTATGAAGGAGTATATGGTCAACCCTTTCCTTGGCTTTGAATTAAATTTTATGAGTTAAAGATTGCAGTGTTGACCCTCTGAGAAGTACAGATTTAATGATGATCTGTGGCACACGCACACACATGGCCACAAGCATGCATGCGTGTGTGTCTCCTAGGAAGCAGTCCGCCTCCTGTCGGGACGCAGCAGCCTGTCTCTCCGCTCCTCGCTCACGCTGGCCGGCGCCTCCCTGCAGCTCGGTGACCTTAGGGGCGTGGGGAGCCGTACCCTCTACCTGCTCGTCCAGAAGCTGCTCCAGAAGCAGGTCCTTACCCCTCCTGTCGTCCATCCTCTCCTGCCTTCCCTTCCTTCTGTTTTATCACCCCTGCCTCCTGTCCCATTTCCCCCTCCTATTAAGACACCCCCAGCAGTATACTGTATATCTGTCCTGTTTCCCTCACCTTCTTCAGCTCTCTGCCCTGGGAGAGTCCATTTCTCTTAGAGAGGGGGGCCAAGTTCTCCTGCCCAGCAAGCTGGGAATGAGAAACATCTATCTGCCACAGCTCCCCCTGCTGGCTAAGGCTACCATGCGCCTGGGTAAGATGACTACATACAACAACCTCTGTATCAGCAGGCAGGGGGGTCAGTGAGATGCCTCTTTAACTGTTTCCTCTGGTCCCCAGGACAAAGCCTGCTGCTGGAGGTAGCAAACTCAGCCAGTGCCGACCATAGCCAGTGGGAGTCAGCCCAGAACCTTTTAGACTCTGCAGTGGTTCTTTCCCGAGTGTCTGCAAGCAGGGACAGAGAGCTGGAAGCCAACAGCCTTTACAGCAGGGGTGGGTCCTGGGGATGACTGATTTACAGGACGGGCTTATGCTGTCTACGCGGCGCTGAGGGTGTGTGTGTTTACAGGGCTGGCAGAGTCCCGGCTGGCTGTGCTCGGCCAGCGTCAGCCCCAGGGCGCAGTGGACACCTTCCTAGAGGCCATCGCCATTACACAGGCTCGCGGCCACAGCCTACGGTGAGCGAGTGTGTCTCTGTAAAGTGCTGGGGAGCAGGACTCGACTCGTCATGGGATGCACGTGGGTCCCAGCCCTCCTGTAGGAGAAAAATGACATAAACCTGCCCTCGCCGCCTCCCCACTAAAGTATTCTGTGTGATGGTCACTGACGTAAAGTAAATCTACTGACTATATCAGGGCTACTCAACTGGAGGACCGACGCCGGTCCGCATCTGGATCAAAACACAATTTAATTCAGACCGTGTAATTGCTCTCCCAACCCCCGTGCCCCCCTCTTCTCCATTAACTTTTTTGTCACCCCCTCCCCCCAAAATGCTCGGCAAGTTTTATCATTGGGGACCCCTCACACTGCCACCAAACAGGTTCTGTATCTGTGTGTGTGTGTGTGTGTGTGTGCGCGTGTGGGCTGGGGATTATGTATGTATTACTTCCACATAACGTGATAACCTGTTATCTTGATGTGGGGACTAAAAATGCCGAAAGTCCTGTATTTTGTTTGGTTACTTACAGTTAAGGTCAGGGCTGGATAGGGGTTAAGGTCGTCATTGTCAGGATTAGAGTTATGCCCTGTGTGTCCCAGGTTAACGCGCCGGTGTTACCTGGAGATGGCCTTGCTGTACCTGTGGCAGTGGCAGGTCACGCCTCCGCAGGAAGAACCGGACTCAGATACTGCGCCTACAGCCAGAGAGAAGCAGCAGGAGGTACCTCTGCGGGTCCCTGTGTTGAATGGACCTGTTGATACTCGACACTCATAACATTAAATATTTTCAGAGACAAGAGAAAAAATATTCTGAAAATTGTGTACTTCTGTGTGCAACGTCTTCAAAATGTAATGGGACTTTGTTTCTTCTGCTTCCAAATTCAGCCTGAGCTACGAAACCATAATTATATGTACAAAGTACAGTGTACAAAGACAAATTAAATTCTTACCTGAATGCCCTCTTCATGGACTAGAGACAGGTAACGTGAAAAATACTAAGTAGGGCTGGGTGATATGCGATATTAACATGAACATAACATGAAATTCTCACATCACAGCTGAGCTGAGATCAAGCTTTTGCATAGCTTCATACTGTAACATTATATAGCGGTATAAAGTATTTTCGTTATTTTCCAGTGTAGTTCCAATATTTAGAAACCTTGGTGATAAAATTCACTGAGAGCAGGGTTCTCCAACTCCGGTCCTGGAGGGCTACTATGCAGTAGGTTTTCTATCCTTCCTGGCTTCTGATGAGCCACACCTGTTCTCAGGTAAATACCAGGAGCAGGTGTGGCTCATCAGAAGACAAGTGGGACAGAAAACCTACTGGATAGTAGCTCTCCAGGACCGGAGTTGGAGACCCCTGCACTAGAACATTTATATTCTGTTATAGGGAAAAATATCTTGCAAGCTTTGCAAGTTTAATTATCGTTCCTTTTCAAGATTAATTAGTTTAAAATTTACCACCCTACTTTTGTATGAGCTCTGCATGCACTTTCCTAGTCAATCATAAACATTTTTATATTTGCTGTTTAAATGACTCATAGACGTGTTTGTGAGAAATAGATTTTTTAAAACTTTTTAACCACTATGGTTTTCTTGCACTGGCCCCGGTTTTAATCCCCCAGATTGACATAATCTACACGAGCATGTATGAGCATCAGCACCACTATTGCAGTGACAACATACGTAAATGCATGCATGCACAAGGCATGCAGCATGTGGCGGCCCTTAGGGCAGCTCCATCCAGCAAGGCAGGCAGGAGGCAGGGAGTAAGCTCTATAAGGAGGTGCAGTCACCACCTGAGGTTTGTCAGGAGGACAGTGCTGCAGTTAGATGCTTACTGCCTTGCTGAAAGTCACTCAGTCCACAGGATACCTTTTCCAGAACATCTCTGTGGACTTTGATGCAGAAATTTAATGAAAGTTCTTTGTTGGAGTACATGAGGACTGAGTGAGTATTATCTCCCAATGCCATAAGATATGATGAGGAAGCCAAACTTTAGGTCATTGACGGCCTCATCTCTAATACAACCAAAATATGCTGTTTTGGAAATTTGCTCTTCAAATGTGAGTTGATCATTCGTCCCCTGATGATGTCACGAGTTTACAAGTTGAAGCCTGATCGTGTTTTTCCTGACTGGCTTCCTGTCTAGTTGGAGAGTGTTGACACCCACCGTGTGTATGTGTGCGTGCATGTGCGCGTGCCCCTGTGCGTGTGTGTGTGCCCTGTGTGTCCGTGTGTATGTGTGCGTGCGTGTGTCCCTGTGCGTGTGTCCCTGTGCGTGTGTCTGTCTGTCTGTGTGCCCTGTGTGTCCGTGTGCCTCTTCCTCTCCAGGCTCCCCAAAGCACTGGTCCGCCTCCCCTGCCCACAGCCCAGACACCAGAGGATCTCCAGGGCCTTTGCTGCTGGACCTGTGTGAGAGCAGCCTGCCAGGTCAGCCGGCATGCATGTCAGAGACCACAGCCTAAATCCCGCCGCCATGTCGCCTCACAGGCTTCTCGCTGTCTCTCCCAGGTCAGCAAATCCCTCGCCTGCCCAGTCCAGCTCCACGGGGTCACCAGTGGCCACCTGCAGGCCACCGCACTGAAGCTGCTACCTGCCTTTGTGTCTGACGACCTGCTCTGCCCCTGTGGTAACCTCTCATGCCCCCTTGTGGCGAGGCTGTGTGAGCCACCTTTTTCTTTCTGGAACCAGAAGTAGATGGTGGTGTTTTATTTTAAATGTTAAGGGGGGTTTGGTGAACCAGCTGGAACCAGTCCTGGCCCCTTGCCGCTGACCTGGGTGCACTTGGCTCACTACCACGCCCGCCTTGCCAACCTACACCACACCGCTGCCCACCCAGGTACAGATGTGCTCTCACACATTGGCCTGTTCCTTGGGAGCTGCGCATGGTGAACTTGAGGGAGTATCTGTTACATAATTGTGTTTCACAGTGACGTCGGAGTATTTGGAGGACCTATGTTCAATAGCCATGGACACCAGTCTGGCCCTGAAACTGGCCCAGCTGCACAGTTTCTTAAGTATATTCTTACTGTCCTACAGGGGGCAGTGTTGTGCCCCCGAAGCCCCCACAGCCCTTCTAATGTCCAGTGCTGCCCATGTGAGTATATTCTCCCAGGGGCCCCCAGCAGGATCTCTGTGTCGTGTCCTTTGACTGCTGAGTCATTTAATCCAGCACTTCTGAACCCCGTCATCCTCACCTTCCTGTCCCTGTCCTCCCTGTCCCTATCTTCGACCCTGGCCCTGTTACCGTCCCTATCCCTATGTCTATACCTGGTCATGTGCTTGGCCCTCTCCCTATCCCCGTCTGTTTCCCGTTTCCGGCCCTGGTCTTGTCCCTGTCTCTGTCCCCATCCCTGTCCCTATTCCTGGCCCTGGTCCTATCTCGGTCTCTGTCCCCATCCCTGTCCCTATTCCCGGCCCTATCCCTGTTTCCCGTTTCCGGCCCTGGTCCTGTCCCCGTCTCTGTCCCCATCCCTGTCCCTATTCCCGGCCCTCTCCCTGTTTCCTGTTTCCGGCCCTGGTCCTGTCTCCGTCCCTGTCCCCATCCCTGTCCCTATNCCCTCTCCCTGTTTCCTGTTTCCGGCCCTGGTCCTGTCTCCGTCCCTGTCCCCATCCCTGTCCCTATTCCCGGCCCTCTCCCTGTTTCCTGTTTCTGGCCCTGGTCCTGTCCCCGTCTCTGTCCCCATCCCTGTCCCTATTCCCGGCCCTCTCCCTGTTTCCTGTTTCCGGCCCTGGTCCTGTCCACGTCTCAGGCTAAGCCACAGTTGGCTCCCCTAGAGGACGTTGCCCTGGGGCCCGTGCAGCTACCCTGCTGGGCTGGTGCTGAGGACAAGCAGCTCTGTATGCAGTGGGTCCAACCAGCACTAGATTGGTCTCTGCAGAACCAGAACTTGGTAATTTCCATGCAGGGAATGAGAAAACCCTGTTTTTTTGTGTAAACATTGTACTGGGCTCTCACAGACATTCGTATCCCTGAGTCCTGCGCTCTTTCTCCAGACTCTGCTCATCTTTGCCTTCAGCATGGCCCCAATCTCTGCCCCAGCTCCAGCAGCCAGTGTTGTGTCAGGGCTGCGATGTGGCCAGTTACGTGTCTGCCAAGATGGGTGAGGGCCACAAGTCACCCAGAATGCCATGCCTCTCCATCTGTGTCTCTTTGTCTGTGTCTCTCTCCCTCTCTCCTTCTATGCCTCTCCGGCCATGCCTCTCTCTCCTTCCGTGCCTCTCTGTCCATGCCTCTCTCTCCTTCCGTGCCTCTCCGATCATGTCTGACTCTTCATCCGTGCCTCTTCACCTGTGTCTGTCTCTTTATTTGTCTCTTCATCCGTGCCTCTCTCTCCATCTGTGTCTATCTCTCTGTCCATGTCTCTCTGTTCGTGCCCGCCTCTTGTGGCAGTGTGCCTGTCTGCTGTTGTGTGCTCTCTCCTGCACTCTTGAGGCTAACCCTGCGCTCCTTACTCCGCCTTTCGCTTGTTTTGGATGTGTCCCTCGTGTCCTTCTGACTGTCCCCTGCCTCTCACCCTAAAGCCCTCCACACTGCTTCCCCTTTACCAGGCTGGAGGCCATACACACCCGGCTTCGCTCCCTCTGTGCCACGGTGAACATGTCCCCCTCCGCACCCCTCAGCAGCCTGGTAACCCCTACCCCAAAGCTAGAGAGGGAGCATAAGGCCAGGACCCAGGACAAGAGGGCAGCCCCGGATTCCCACATGTTGGTAAGCAGTCATAATGTAGGATTCCCTGCTGCTGCCACTGCATAAAATATAGAAATAACTCATGAGAGCACCAGAACAACCTTCTAAGTCATATTAATAAGAGCTGCAGTGAGGCTCCAATACCGCGGCTTTACAATGTCAGTATCAGTGCATCTGATTTATGAAGTGCAGGATGTCAGGCAGAGTGTGATCTCTGTGGTTAGGAGCTGCAAGAGGAGATCACAGGCTGCCTTCTTCAGATCCAATCCCTGCTGAAGCCCAGCTCAGATCCGGCTGTCATCACAGTGGTGGGTGCCATGCGTTTCCCATAATCCACTGCTCAACTCGAAGCCGCAAATGCACTGGGAAAAGCACAGTTATATGCTCATTTTAAAATAATATGCATATATTTAAAAACACTTCGAGCCTGTGACTGGTTTGACAGGCATTAGTACTCAAAGCATAAATTTAAATGTTTTAAATGAATGCTCCCTCATGTATATCAAAACCAGGGGAAGGACGGATGGCTGTACATCTGCTTGAACATTGCTTGAACTGTTTCTATTCCCCGGATTTATCCCTGATCATCCTACCGCCTTGTCCCAGGTCCCATTCGAACCCAGTCGGCAGAGCCTTGGAGACCTGGAACGCTGCTTCAACCCCAGAGGGGGTGCTGTGGTGTCATCAGAGGTGGCATCATGGCTGGCCTCCCTTCTGCTCTGAGCTGTTTAATGTAATGTCTTGTTTAGTACTGTAGGGATGCAAGAGTGAGCTGTAGTCCATTGCCTGAATTATTAGTGCTGACATGACAGTAAGAGCAGAGGTGGAAATTTCAGGTCCAGAAAATAAAAATGCAGACCAGCCACAGAGTACACAACTGAATGGTTAAAACAAAATGTTGGCCTAGATTTTTACTTTCTGGATCTGAAATTTCCACCTCTGAGTAAGAGGAAGGTTATTGGTTAGTGATAATGTGCCGTCCCGTAAGTGGCCAGAAAAATGCTGAGTGACGAGCAGAACAACCCCCCGCTGTGCCAGACTGTAGGCATAATGCCACATCCCGGCTTGCGGTTCCTGGGAATTCCCTAGCAAGCTGGCTCCAGCAGCCGCCCCCCCCGATCTGTTACTTAGACAAGACTGAACCACAGATGGTGTGTCTGGGGGGATGCTGAAATTTCATCTCTAATAAAACCAGTTTGATTAGCATCTAATGAAGCATTGTGATTAGGAAAGCCATTGATGAGGGTTCTGTCCTTCCTACCTTTCCTTTCAGACTTGCTTTGGCTATATAAGCACATAACCATAAACTGATGTGATCCCACACTCACTGATAATAACCTCACACATTGCTGCTAGGCATCGATCAGAACATTGGAACTGGTGCATCTGATCAAAGCACTGAACACTGTTCACCAATCCCCATTGTCTTAAAAAAGTTAGAAAGTTTGCCTATATTCACAGATATACTGCTTATCAAGAACATTGTCTGGGCACCAGGATTACATTACAAACATTACACAGGAGTGCATTTTTGTAATTTAGATCTGTACTGACAACACTATGTATTGGATTTCTGCCCTGCACAACAACAAAGATCAATTTTTGCTCACATTAAGACAGCTATAGGATTACATTTATAAATGAGTCAGATGAATTATTGATTTTGAACAAAAACGACTTGACTTGCATATCTATGGTCTTCTGCATCCGTCTTTGAAAAACCACAGATATTTGGATCAGTGGTAGATAAGAAAATATCCCAGTGATCTTTATTTGTCTGTATTATTCTGTTCACATATATTTCACACTGGACATATTTCAAGTTTTATCACAGGCTTTGCTACTGAATGGTCATCTTTTCACGTGAATCTCGTGCTTTATGTAAGCCATCTGATTATTGTGTTTCATTGTATTTCCATCATGAAAAAGCAATATTGTCGTAACGGATTTGATCATTATCAATCAGAGCGTGAATAAACAACAAAGAAATGGCGCCACCAAGTGGTGACTTCAGTGGACAAACTGCAGATGGTGCGAACAAACGACCTCAATAAGCACCAAAATGGCACATTAAAAACGTATCAAGGAGTTGTGTGCTTTGGGGAAGCGCACAAGATTACTAACACAGCAGTCATTCTCAAGAGAACCTACGCCATAATAGTTTAGACATTGACGGAGGAACCTGTGGTTAAATTTATTGTGTTTAATAGATTTACTATTTGCATGTGACCGTCTTGTTTGAGAGATCCGGATGCATGGTGGTTTAAGTGACCTGGAGGTTACAGGATTTCGCTCTAGGAGAGTGCGGTGCAAAAATCCTGCTTTACAATCGAATGAACCTGTGAATTGCTCTGGAGAAAAAAGTATGATTACAGTTTAATGCAAATAATTATCTTATGTGTCTCTGTTTTATTATTATACTCCACCAAACTACTGCTTAAAGTTGTCAGAAAATGTTGTGTCTGCTTATCTAAGTAGATACAGGGCTGCCAACTGTCACGCATATGGCGTGACACTCACGCTTTCTGACTCTGACACAAGAAATCTTACGGCATTATTAACCTAAAATTAGCTACATCAAAAGCGTTGGGGTAATTAACAAGGTGATAAAATGTAAATGCGCGTGCATGTGTGCAGACTTGTCTCGAGCTGAAAATTTCGCGTCAGCCAGCTGACCGAAGTTGACAAACCTGCAGATAGTGTAACAGCAGAAGGGTCGTTTTTCAATTTGTTACATGGTTCAGTCATCATTTGACATTTGTTGGTTATATCCAATTCTTCGCTCAACTTAGCTAAAACTAGTAATATTCCAAATTATTTGTTATTAAAAAGGTAGCCAGCGATGTAGTGAACATAACTTCTTAAGCATTGTTTCTGTGACACTAAAATGAAATGAAGTGCAGTTGCTTTCAGTGCGCGCGGGTCCGAGCCGGATATTCCCGCCAATTAACGAGGGCTGAAGGCTCGCGCTCCGCGCCTCACTGACAGCTGCGCGTGCCCAGGAGTCCATGCAAGTGTGCGGCTGCTCGCGCACGCACGCGCTCCCGAGTGAGGCTGGAGAGAGAAGACCGGGCGCCGCTTGGGGAAGGAGGACGACGATATGAGCTCCCGCAAAGGTAACAAACTCCTATTGTCACGCGTGTTGCCGCCTGCCCAGAAACTCTTTACTTTAGGGGACTGCCATGGGCATGTGAAGCTCGTGTTGTTGCATTTTATCTTCGGGAAAGCAGTGCTCCGATCGGAGGCTAACAGGCTAACTGATGCATTCTCTCTCTATCTGGCCCTCGTTCTGCTGTCGGACTTGCTCCGTGTATCATAATCTTATCAGTGATGGCCATTCAGGCACGAAAGAGGAGGCCGAAGGGGAAAAAAGACAAGGCAGCCCAACAGCGAAGGTAAGCGGGGCGGGGGTCCGGACGGACTGCGGCTGTCACGGTGTTTTGTTTCCGTGCTTATTCCTGAAAAAAAGATTTCGCTGAGGACATGGTCACTGTCCTGTCAGAGCCGCTCTGGAGATAAATGTAAATTTAAGTGGATATGTATGAATAAAAGTGAGCTCTGGTTGGCTGCTCTAAGGTTCTGTTTGACCATCACACCCTGGTCTTCAGGATGGCCGAAATGTGCCGAGTTGGAAGTTGCTATTGGCAACGTCCCGCAACCCGGACGTGCTGCCTGTTGTGCTGATGTAACGCGTGTGTGTCTATCTGATTGTGTTTGCATGTGTACGTCTGTGGATGTCTCATTCTCTATGATTTGTTCGTATATTTCTGTGTGTATTAATGTTTGTGCCTGTCGGTATTTGTGTGTTTGTACATTACGTTTTGATAACCAAATGTCCCCACAATGTGATAAAAACCTGTCATAACGTTGTGGGGACCATTTTTTGGCCTCTATAGGGGGAAATTCAATTTTATAAAAATCTGTGATTGTAATAAAAAACTAAAATGTCAAAAGACTAGTATTCAGCTTGGTTACTTATGGTTTTGGTTACTTAAGTTAGGGCTGGGTAGGTCCTGACAAAGACATGAATACAAGTATGTGTGTGTGTGTGGATTATGTTTATATTATATTGTAGGGACCAAATGGCCCCCACAATGTGATAAAAACCTATTATTTTTCAGGTCCCCACAAAGATCTGAGAATTCAGTCAAATAACTAAAAATGCCAAAAGATATGTTTTTTGTTTGATTACTTATGGTTATGGTTAAGGTTAGGGCTGGGTAGGGGTTAAGGTCGTCATATTGGGATTAGCGTTCTTTTTTATTTTCTTTTAGAGTTTTGCGTGCCAATACAAATTAAGGACTGGGTGATCGTCAGAGGCAGTGTCTGTCTCTCTTAAAGTCTAAAGAAGAGTACTGCTGTCTGGGGCTGGGCCTATACAGTGTCTGTTAGGGGAGGGGTTTTCCCTATCATAGCAGGCTTATGTGACAAGTCTGCTAGCATGATGACTGTATTGCTAGACCAAGAGATGGGTGGGTGGGCTTTGAAAAGTTGCCTGTTCAAACTGAATTGGTGAACTGCAGCAGATGCATGTGTGTTTGGGGCGTAAACAGCTCTACCGGGTTGCATTGCTCAGTATTTCAGTTAAGGGGTGTAACAATTGAGTGCTTTGGCTACACGTCACACCGTCTTCCTGTAGCTGATGTTCAGACAATTGATGTTCTGTGGAGAACAGATCGTATTCCATCACAGGATAATTTTGGCCTGATGTCATATAAAAGCCAGTAAGAGTAATTTTAATGACACAAAGGCACTTCCTTCAGTGAGGCTTATAGTAGCATGTTGGTCATGGAATATAGTGAAATGATCTTTGTTGCCTAAGAATTGGCTGTCATGGTATTCTGTTCCAGCACTTGTACTTCACTGGAATAAGTGTTGCCCAATGTCATATACTGGAAAAAAAGAGATCTTCTGGCATATGTCCCAGAAAACAAATTGTTTAGACAGACATCAGTAGTGTGACAATGGAAGTTGATGCTTTACCTATCACTCATCAATAACTCATGGTTATTTTTTCAGCAGAAAACGACTTGTTTTAACCAGGGTACATTAATAGGTCTGACTTTCTTTTTTGTGCACATATATGCAATGGAAGGGTGTAGTTGGTGCCCTAATTAAATTGCATAGACCTGTTGGCTTCTGTCCTCACCTCTTCTGGTCATAGAACAGTGTCAATCCATGTCCTTTTAATTTAATTAAATATCATATGTCATAAAGTCTTCCCTCGCTCACTTGCTCTCCGAATGATGGATTGCCTCTGTATTGGATTGACCCAGACTCAGGCTCCTAATTTATATAGAGACACACAGGCTGGATGGGTCTCTGAGGAGACTCTCCTTGGGACATGAATGAAATGCAGCAAGCACAGTAGTGATGGGCTATATGCAGGTGGCTGGGAGACGGCCCTGAGTAGTGATGGGCTATATGCAGGTGGCTGGGAGACGGCCCTGAGTAGTGATGGGCTATATGCAGGTGGCTGGGAGACGGCTCTGAGTAGTGATGGGCTATATGCAGGTGGCTAGGAGACAGCCCTGAAGCTGGGCAATGCCAGCGGTAGATCTGTATTTGTGTGACAGGACCACGTTTTGCAAATACTTTGAAAACATATTTTGAAACTACGTTGTGAGAGTATTTATGGCTAAACAGCTTCACATTTTTATTCTCCACTTAGTGAAATACAGCCATGTGAACTATAGGAAATCTTAGTTTATTTTCCCAGTACACAGAAGAAAGGTGGGGCATATTGCATACTTATAAAGGGGAATGTAATAAATTCTGGCATAACATGAACCGAAAAAAGTCCATCTGGGATGATCTTATGGCCAAGGTTTGTGAACTCGTACGTCAGTGATGTGTCCTAGAATCGAAGGGAGTCACATTGTATGGGACAGCACACTTCAAAAGACAAGAGATCAAATGAGGTGGGGAACAATGGAGCTCTTTCAGCATTCCCCATCAGTGGGTGGGGACAGGGAGGGGGGGGGGGCTCCATTTGCAGAGACTGGCCTGGGTTGTGTTGGGGTATGACACAGACCAAAGGAGTGTTGTCCTCTGTAGACCCTTGTTTGTATGTGTTGGTTATATCATATGTGTTCATTTGCAGCTGCTTTAGAAGAACCATCATTTGATCAAGCTGAAACCTGAAGCATGTGAAACAGTGGCGTTCTTGGAGTGGAACTGTCGTGACTGCTTGAGTTTAATTCCACATTTGTGATGCTTGTGTCTATAGCGTATGTTTGTGTGATACCCATGTCCTTCATTGCATCATATTGATGATAGTGATGCTGTTGGCTTACCTGAATTAAGGCTACTCACTGTTGTTTGGCCTTTGTGCCATAGAAACTGCTGATTAGAATCAACCATTGTTTGGGGTGGCCAAGGGGTGACACATTAGACAGTAGAGCTCTATTGATGCCCTCCAGTAATATTTTAAAAGTCTATTTGGTCTGGTTTGTTTGATGATGAAACTGCCCTGACAAGGGGTATCCTGTGCAGTGCGTCCTCTCCTTCAGGTGGCTCCAGCTTCGCGTGGGCGTGTGATGATTTTAACCATCTTACTTATTTAAGGATCCTCACCTATCTTATGAAGAAACATCCATATATTTGGCACAGTCCCGCTCGGCTGTCTCTTTGTGTATTTAAGTTGCACCTTAACTGCCCTGTGACTCGATACAAAACCTGTATTTTCATTCGTCTGTGTTTATTTTGACCTCTGCACCCTTTCACTTGCGATTCGTCAGATGAACCCAACCGACAGGTAGACTTTCCCGTTTGCCTCTGTGTGGGGGGGGCATGCATGTTTGTGTATGTTTGGTTCTGATGGTTCTCCTGTGCACATCCCCACCCTGCATGCTGCCAGTGCTCAGCTCAGACAGTAGGATGGGGGTGGAGGGGAGGAGCATTTACTAACCCCCTGGGATTTCTCTTCAGCCGCCTCTCATCGGCATGTTCTATCTGTATCACTGCACTCTGTCTCTGGCAGGACTGTTAGCCC